GCTCGGGGCACCGGGTTGTGCAGGTGGGAGGCCAGGCCTGGATGGGGCCGCACTTACGAAGTACTTCTCAGGGTAATCCCGCAGGTGCAGCAGGCTCTTGGAGACAGTCTTGCGGTCTTGCTCCCACTTGCGCGTGCAGAAGACCATCTCGGTGAAGTACCACATCCAGCCGATGATGGGGACGTAGGCCAGCTCCTTCTTGGCCAGGACTTTGGAGCCCTGAAACAGAGGGGGACCCAGGGCATCCGTGAGCGGGGGCAGGGGCCTTTCCCCGTGGCTGCCGGAGATCTAGAAGGAGTGAACACACACTCTAGGCCCAAGCAGGCAGTCCCCGGACTCAGGGGTCAGGGAGCCACTGACCTGGAGCTGCCTCACTGGTCAGCAAGAGGTCAAGGTTTTGCCAACTCTGATCCACAGGAGGGGGAGCCAGGGGGCTGGCTCTCCATGGGGAGGGTGGGCGTCTAGGCAGGCACCAGGAGCAGGTGGGACAGCCGAGGGTGGCGGGGAGGCTGTGTCATCCCCCATCAGCTCACACGGGTGCACAATGCGCTTGCTCAGCCCATCATGCTATCACTGACCTCACTCAGCCCTCAGCCAACCTGCTGGCTCTGAGGCGGGAGGACCAGATGCTACCCTCCTTAAAGACTATAAGTGTGGCCCAGAGGATGGCTGGGAAGTGGCAAAGAAGAGAGGTAAACTCAGATCAGCAGATGTGCTGGGACCACTCCACCCATCCCCTGGCCAGCTCGTCCCCAAGGCTGCAAGTGGCTCAGGTCCCTACCGGGCTGGGGAAGACCAGGAACCCAGGGGGCACAGGGGGCAGGGGAGACACAGGAACAGCTTTTGATCTCCTGGATTGAGTCCTATTTTTCACCCCTAATTTTGGAACTGGCCAAGATGCTCCTTGAAATAGCCGTCATCCATCAATGGCACAGAGGATGGTGGCAGTGACGTGGACAGGCGGGGGTCTTAGCTGTGTTCCTGGTGACAAGTGTCTGGTTACGCCTTTGCACCCGCGAGGCCCGAAGCGAGAAGAGAGATACTTCAGCCAGGCCCTGACTCATCTCTCCCCTGTCACTCCTGCGACACCCAAGAGCCACACCCCCCACCCACCCACACAGACCAGAGGAAGGTGTGAACAGCCGCTGGCTCTCTTTACCCTAAGAAAACAACAAACATCTTTCCCATGGGGAGAAGAAAAAGCACAGATAACCATTCAGGTGCAGCCTCTCCATGTTTTGATGGGTTTCGGTTTTGTTTCTCCCACATGCAAATTCCCTCAAAGAAAACCAAGCCACCAATCTGGGCACTTGCCCTAGAGGACCCAGAGGCGAGACCCTGGAGGTCAGGACGAGGTGAGCCCAGACCCCTGGGTGAGGGATGAGGCAGTCCCCAGACTCAGGGAGCCACTGACGAGGAGCTGCCACACTGGTCAGCAAGCGGTCAAGGTTGTGCCAGCTCTGCTCCGCAGGAGGGGGAGCCGTGTGCCAGGCACAGGGACACTACACAAATTCTATTGAATTTTCAACCAGTAAGAATAGGTACACCCATTTTACAGATGATCAAACTGAGGCTCAGAGATGTTAAGGAACTCACCCAGAATCACAGACCAACCGCTAGGGAAACTGAGAATTCAGGCCGGGTTGTTTGTTCAGAGGCTTAAGTCCAGGATAAATGTTAGTGGACATATAAATGTTCATGAGTGTGTGGCCTGGGCTGGACACGGAGGGTCACCTGACCCATCAGCCATTGGCTCCTCTTCTTTCATTTACAGACTCTCTGTTTAGTTCCAAAGGCGACGTGTCCAGGCTCCGGGAGTGACCGTGAGTGATGCTGGCCCAGCCCCGCTGCCCGCTGGACGCCTTAGCTGAGTGTGGACACATGACCCAGCCCTGGCCAACGTGACTCAGAGATCTGCCGTGGGCTGCTTATGTTCTGAGGATCCTGGGGAGATTTTGCTCCCTGAGGAAAAGGGGGACAGGCCGGAGGCCCCACTGGTTTCTGCCATCATCACGGTTGCTGGATGTGTCACGGTTTTGACTATTATGTCGCCACCCTGAGACCCCAGCCTAGAAATATTGAGGCCACCGGGGCCTCTGTGCCACCTGGAGGAAGGCATGTAGCCTGTGGAATCAGGGTTTCTGGGTTTTTTTTTAAAATTTATTTATTATTATTTTTTAATGGAAGTACTGGGGTTTAAAATAAGGACCTTTTATGCACGCTAAGCACGCGCTCTACCACTGAGCTCTGCCCTCCCC